CCCCCCCCCCTCTGCCCCGGCAACTCTTCAGATTACCGCCGCATTACCGCCCCCCATGCCTGCTATAGGCTGCACACGCACAGGCGGCTGACCACATCGTGCAGTTTTGAATCTCTGCATGGGCACAACCCAGACGTGCTCACACGTGATTTCCATCTATTTTCGGAAGCTAGCTTGCTATGCATGGAAGCGTGCTGTGCGTGCTGGGTGCTTTCATCAACTTGACTGTTTGCTCGGATATATAATTGTGAATGACAAGAGAAGTCCAAGGCTCGAGTCCAAGTCTTGAGTGGATGCATGGGCAAGCCCCACGCCGGCAAAAGCGGTACTCTTGATCGTGATCTGCTCTTTGACTCATCAGACTGGAGACTGGAGACTCGAGACTCGAGACTCATCAGAGACTCATCAAGAATCGTGAGTACTCACGACTCACACAAACAATGTGAATTCAACTGACTGCGCTCTGCACAGCCACGCTTGAGCATCGCACGTGCCTGCCTTTGACCGTGTCCTCGGCCCTCGATCGCAGCTATAGCCGTGCGTGCTGCGTGCATGCAAATACCCTCGGCGTGCTGCACGGCGCGGTGCGCAGCAGTCCTCGCGCGCGGTACGCGGTACTCAGGCGGCGCGGCGTCAGCATGCACGGCGTGCCGCGCGATGCCCCCATGGCGCGCGCGGGCCTCAGGGGTGATGTGTGGAACTGCATGCATTGCAGGTGCAGTCACAGTCGTGAGTGCAGACCAGGGCAAAGCCTTGGCGCGATGATCGACCTCATTTGCGTGTGCTTGGACTTCACAACTGGTCTGGTCTGGTCTGGTCTGGTCTGACCGGACGCGTGGGTGGTGGTTTGGAGTAATGATGAGTCTGAGTTACGGGTATGAGTACCCTCACTTGCACTCATCTCACCTCACACAAGTCACGAGTCTGAGTGTGCCTCACTCGCACTCACACCGCGTCTCGTCTCGTCTCGTCTCCATGGCAATCACCATGCCTCTTTGTGATCGCTGCTGATCACCACTTCCATAACGACCTGACATCAGCCCACTCTGCTGCCTCTGCACTCACAACTAGCCGCTACGCGACAGCCCCTGAGCCATCAGCCGCGGCCACAAGTTCCCCCACGGCAAATTCTTCACGACACGCACGACCACCTATACCCACCACTTGACCTTCATACAGCCACCCCCTCACGTCTAAGCTCACGATACAAACGACGGCGACACGACTATTCACGACGATCACGCTGAAGGTCTCAATTTCACACACAAAACGCCTTCTTGCATTCGCGCAATTTTGCTTGCAAGGCTCAAAGAAGCACATACTCGGCGGCCTGGCTCGCGGCCCACTCAAGGCGATCCTCGCAGCTCGACTTGATTTGAGGGCAAGATGTACGGTGAGGATGCAGGACGATCTGCTGCGGATTACTACGGCGACATGCATCAGGCAGCAGAGTCATCCGACTACATCGAGAGGGATCTGGCCGACTATGCAGTCCCATCCTTTCCTCCCCGTGCAGGCGGCGGGCGGTATAGCCTACCAGTCATGCACCATCCTCCTGCCCCACGCTCCACCTACAGCACCCCGACCCCTTCCAATCGGGGAAGAAGTGGCAAACAGCTTCGAGCCACCTCGCTGGAGGTTGGCTCTGTATACTCTGCCGGCGCTGCTGCACCAGGCTACCGCTATCCGCAATACTCTAGGGATCCGCTCGCCAGTCCCATTTCTGCTCCAGCCATGACAGAGTATGGCGTGTACGGTCCGCATCCTCATCATCACCACCAGCACGCAGCGCATCTCCCATACCCTTCCAGGTACCACCCTCAGGAGGCCTACCTCGCTTCGCCAGACGAGGCGATGGGCATGCAGCCCAACGATCGCTACTGGTACGCTGAACCGCCTCAGTTCGCCGCTCCGCATCGAGACATTCCAGGCTTCAGGCCAGAGTCTGTGGCGAGCTCGAGAACTCTGACCTCAGCCGCTCATCAATCCGTCCACTCGCCGCTCGTAGCTTCAGCATCCGTCGCAGGCTCGGGAGGGGCTGTATTCTCCAATCAAGACTTGGAAGCTTCTTCCTCTTCGCCTGGTTTCTTCGATGTGGAAGCTAGACATCACGTGCCGGGTCGGCGGAGCAGAGACCAAGAACCCATGCATGCCGTGGGCGCGCTGAACGCGGCTCCGAATACCGGTCCGTACGGCGATGCCTTGCCTAACTTTCCAGCGTGGAGCAGGACGTGGTATGGTGGGCATCTGTCTGCTGATGGTCACGCCTACACCATGGTGCCCCCTGCCATGGGCCCCGGCTCGGGCAATGGCTCAGGATGGGAATCCGAGACGCTGTCCAGGTCCGCGGGCAACGCCAATGGGCAGTATGGCCGCGTGTATGGCAAGGCTGGAGACCATGGCATTTCTGATTATGTCAAGGAGGAGAGGATGAGGATGCTGGAAAAGGAATTTGGAGCGCCCAAGGTCAAACATGCCAAGGGTCAAGATGACGACGACGCCAGCGACAAAGACGATGATGAATCAGAGGAAGAAGAGCAGGAAGAGTTGGTTTTGGGAAGCGTGGACAGCCGGGGCAGGCTCATCACAGAAAGACCAAAGTGGATGCTGGCAGTCAGGTGGCTCCAAATTCTGTGCGCCTTGACTGCTCTGGCGTGCGGCGTCGGGGGTGCGCTGCTCATCAAGACGGCCTCATCCGCTTCCACCGACGTCTCGAACGACGACACCATTCCGGCTCCCAAAGGCACGATGCCTGCATACATCATGTACGCTGCGAGCGGCGTCACAGTGTTGATCTTGTTCTACCTCTTCTTGTTCAGACCTTGCTGCTGCGATCCCATGAGGAAACATCTCAAGGAGTCGGAAAGCGGAGCGATGGGCATGGGAGGATTGGGCGGTATGATCATCCCTGTTCTTTCTGGCGGCGGAGGACCTGGACCTGGAGGCAAGATGCCAAAAGGCATGCCCGGAGGACCTAAGCGGGGCCTCTTTGGCAAAAGGAAGGAGATGATGGGGGGCGGAGGTGCGCCGACTGTCAATCTGATCGTCGACCCTGCTCTGCTGGGAGGCGGAAGCGGCAAAAAGGGACGGAGGGGCCAGGCGGAAGATTCGAGCTCGGACGAGGAAGAGAGGTTACCTGGCGAAGGGCGCAAGCGCCGACGAAAGCGACGAAAAGGACGTGCTGGAGTGATGGAGACGATGAAGCTTCAAGCTCGGTGGCGTATAGCTCGATCTTCCTTCAAGGTCTTTTTGGTCTGGGACATTTTGCTCTGCATCGTCTGGATCGCAGTGCTGATCGTCGTCATCGCTTTGGGCAAGAAATGTCCACCTGGGACAGCCAAGGGTTGGTGCGACGCTTTCAATGGAAACATTGCTGCTGGTGCAATCTTTGCTGCCGTCACCATCCTAGCCATCTACCTCGATTGGAGGACTTTGGCAGTCAGCAAGCATCCTCCCAAACATACCTTTTGAGCAAGACCTCTTTTGTGCTAGGACGCCACAAATCTTTCGCTCACGGACACTCTCCTCCCCCACATTCACCTCCTTTGTACCTAACCTCACTTGGATCGCAACGCACGCACGTCATCTCTCATACAATCAAAGCAGCTTCCCTTCCATTTGCCTCAGCTCGATTTTTGTGTTCTGCCGAGGCTGCGCAACAGACCATCCCCGTTCAACCTGCAGTGACCCTTCTCCCCTGCTGCAAACCTTCACCTCTGATGATGATCCTCTTCCTCTACTTGTTTGCACTGCTCACATCTGCGGCGCCGCTCGACGAGAAGCTAGAGCAAGTTATCCGTCATTCGCTTTGCATGACCAGACTTTTTCATTTGTGATGGTGCAAGACAGGGTTTCTAGCCCACGCATGTAATCCGTGTTCAAGGAGATACACTCTGAGAAGTTGATACGAGTACAGAAAGGCCATTCAGATCTGCGCGAGGCCGTGATGACGTGCTTGCAGAGTTGTGCGTTCAGCCGGAAGCGTCGCGCCTCGCTCCGTCTGCGGCCACTTTTGCGAAGCTGTGTGCGGCCTGTGACTCCATATGAGAGCCGTTTCCTACAGTGCTAGAATCGGCCGCCTCCGATTGCTGTTCTGCGTCACCAAGTGCACCGAGGTCTGCGTCTACACCTGCAGAGGCACTTGCTCGAGCTGCTCCCGCATTAGCATATCCTTCCTTTAATACTGCTCCCTCGTTGCCCCTTGTTCCGCTTCCGCGCTTGACAGGCGAGCGGGGAACGTGTGGAGTAGACCAAATGTCACTCGTGTTGGCGTAGTTGCCAAAGGTCGGACTTTCATTGAAGGCACCAGCGTTCGAGGGAAAGACGGGGCTATTGAGGTGAGTCCCTAAAGCACTAGTCTGTCCTACTATGGGACCGCCAGAGTAAGGTTGGTGTTGTTGCAAGGGACCAAACGACCCAAGATGCCTTGGAGAGATGTTGTCGCCGCTGGGCTTGATGTTTGAAGAGAACGGGAAAGCCCTAGGGCTGACGGGACTGACAGGTTCGGAGCCCATACTTCCAGGGCCGGCATTGCCCGAAACTTGCCTTGTGCCGCTGTTGCTTGCGTTCGTTCGATTCAGCGCCAAAGCTCCTGATGCGGGCGGTTGACCAACGCCCATCAAAGCTGCCCGGCTCCTTAGAGGTGAAGAAGTGGACGAATTCGAAAGGCCCCAAATGTCGGCAGCGGGGTACGAAGGCCCACGAATGCTGCTCGTCCCTGTGTCCGGAAGATGTACTGTGTTGTTCCAAGGTGAAGCATGATTAGATCCTGGCGCAGCTCCAGATGGCGTCAGACTGGAATTAGTGGCAGATGCGGCAGCCTGCAGCCCAGTAAGGTGGGGGAGGCCGTTCCAAACTCCAGCATTTGTTGCGCTCGATCCGATCTGACCTGGGTTACTGGACTGTGAATGCGCAGCAGGTCCGAAATCGTCGTAGTCCAGAGGACCAAAGGATTTTCTTCTTTGTGGTTCCTCCACAGCAGCAGGTCCAAGATATCCTGCGCTGGACGTATTGGCTACGAGTGACGAGCTGAAGGGAGAGCCGGATTGAGGAGTAGCTTGAGGGGGATGATGAGGAACGTTGAAAGGGAGGTTTGGAGAATTACCACCGAGCGGGGACGGTGCGTTGGACAGATTGCTGCCCAGTCTGTGAGGATACAAAGAATCGCTCGGTCCCAAGTTGATCTTGTTGTTGACACCTCCAAAGTGGGGCAGGCTTGCCCCCGCGGCACTTCCGGGCTGATTCAGAGGCGACGTATTGTCGCTGTTTGCCGAAAGTGGGAAAGCACCGCTGGGCATTGCCAGCACCGGAGAAACGCTAGATCCTGATGGGACGAACTCGGGCTTGTTAGGATTCAAAGTGGTCGACGAAGAGAATGGGGCTTGTTGGTGGGTCTGGACATAGGACGCTGCTTCACTGAGCTCTCTGGGCATCAATCCGGAGCCCGATACGAAGTGGCGGGTCATGCTATCCGAAGATGGATGATTGTTGGACCCAAAATGGCTTCCGACTCTATCCGGACCAGTGGAGCCGCTAGGACGTCCACCTCCCACAAAGGCGCCTCTCCTAGAAGCAGGATGATACACATTGGGGCCGCTAGACGATCTCCCTTGGGGCGCCCTCTTACCCAACGTGGAGGCCATGTTGATGAGTCCGCCTAGCGGTGCGACTCTTGCTCCGCCAGAGGGGTTGAACTGTCCTCCTGGGGTACCTGCGCTACCAGTGGAGCCTTTGCCCGGGACCTGTGTCGCTACAAGCATTGCGGACCCTGTCGAGCTTTGTGACTGAGAAGCATCTGCGTCCAGGCTTCGCACGAACTCCAAAGGTGCGCTTCTGATCCTCTCGATTTCCTCCTTTAGCTTCTCTATTTGCAGCTCCAGATTTGAACACCTCTCGTCTTTGAGATGTTTCCTCTCCCTCTCTCGGTTCTCGACCGCATCGTTTATAGCGCTCAATTTGCTTTGATGGTTCCTCATATCTTCCTGTACTTTCAGCAGCGCCGCCTTATCCTCGCTCTCGCGCTTCTCGACTTCTACTTTCACTTGCTCATATCTTTCATTGGCTTGCCGCTCTCTCTCGTATGCCTCTTCGTGTCCACTGTTGACGCTCTCAGCTTCTTGTTCCATCTCCTTTGCCTGCAAAGTTGACTGCCGGATTCCCTCTTGCAAAGCAAGCACTTTTTGTCTGCTTCTGTGGTCTGTGTCGGTCTGCTTTTGCAGTCCCTTCTTGAGAGCGTCAATCTCCGATCGCAGAGCTCCTTCGGCCCTTTGAGATTCCTTTCTGGCTTTGCGCAATTCCGCGTTGAGAGCCTCGCGGAGGTTGCTGGATGCTGCAATGTCGGCGAGCAGCGCGGCATGAGATGCGCTCTCGCTTCCATCTTCGGACGAAAGAAGAGGCGGTGTGCTGGTGCTTGCTGGCGCACCCCTACTCCAGGGAAGAGCTGAGGACTGTGCAGCAGTGTCGGGGCTCGCAGGTGCAGGTGCAGATTGAGAGGGAACGACAAAGGCTTGTACGCTGTCTTCGACAGACGATTTTTGCCCTTCCGTCGCGGCAGCTGCATTGATATCAGGCTCGACGTCTCAGTCGGGATCTCGTCTTCGCAATCCGTCAAGGCTCGCACACACTCACGCTCGGGTGCTTGGATCTGGGGACCAGCGAATTTGAACTCGTCCTTGCCTCCTACCGCTAGGTCTATGCTGTACACCCTATTCGGCAGCAATCCGTACACAACGATGACAGCCTCCTCGCTGCCTCTATCTGCTAGAACGACGTGAGTCCATGGCACTCCATTAACAGAGACGCTCACTCCGCTATCGAACACTCGTCCCATCTTGGCTTCCTCGGTGTTGTTGGCCAAACTGGACGGCAACGTGTTTGCCGAAGTGCCATCACCATGACCCGCCGTTTCGGAAGTTTCTGAGTCGGATCCGGCAGCGCGCTGATCGGAATGGTTGGCTGGTCTCCTCTTGCGCGCCCGCCCCTGGGGCCGTGTAGACGCACGTGGCTGCTCGGGTTTAGCGCCGCTTGGAGCATCATCGGCGTCCCCTCTATCGGAATCCACGTCCACAGCCGTAGCACCGTCATCGGGCCAATTGTCTGCATCGTCGACCCCATCCTGAGGCTGACTCGCCTGAGCCGATGCTAACCGAGCCGCGGTGCTGGGACTGGAAGTTCTTAGCCTCAATCTCGTAGTACCTGTTCTCCTGCGCATTGTTGGACTGGTGGTGATCGTCGATGTTGTCACAGCAGTTGTCGTGGAAGAGGTGGAAGCAAGGTTTGCGGTGTTGATGACATTGCCGGCTCTGGGTCCGGCATCGGCCATTGAATTTTGCAAAGCTGCGCTATTGCTGTTGCTGCCGCCAGCTAGCGGCCTGGAGCGAGAATTGGAGAAAGCGGCAGAGATGGGTGGAGGTCGAAGGGACCAGAGCAGGGAGATGGAAACGGGTGTGACATCCCTGACTTCAAGCCTGAAAGGATGTTGTGAGTGTGAGGAGAGCGAGGAACGCAATTCACTTTGGCCGGGCTGCGGTGTTGCTGCAGCATGAGCCTGCAGAGGCTTGACGCTGCTGGAGGTGGACATGGCTCCTCCTTTTTTGTCCCCCTTGCCCCTGCCTCCTGGATCTGGATGAATGGAGTTACAGCGAATGGCGCTGTCGGGGCTTGCCCGATGCTTTGTCCAGATGAAGAGCAGCCAGACCAGAGGGAGGGAGGGGGCGACGCGAGGGGAGCAGCCGGTTACGAAGGCGCTTTTAGGTCTTGCCTCGACGTTGGACTGATTCGCTGACAGGCACGACAGGTGAAAGTGAAAAAGGATGATGGACCATCGCGTGTGTGTCAGCGTCAAGAGCTGACGAAGAGGCGCACGAAAGCGAGCTTCACTTTTGACTCCACACGAGACCCGTGACCCGCACCTTTTGTTTTCGTTTGTCGTTGCATTCAAATTCTTGATTTTGAACGTGAATCTTGAATCGATGCTGACCATTCAAAAACTAAAATCAAAAGATTGCGTGAGTTGTGATTCGATTCCACGCAACTCGATTTCGATCCTTGCGTTCAAGATTCTTGATTCTTATCGCGCTCGCCGCTCTGCTTAAGTTCGACGATGTCAATTGCAATTCATGATTAAAGTTTTGCACAGCTAGTCAAAAGGCAACTTTGAATCAATCATTAAGAGTCAAACTTTGACTCAAATCACGTGTTCGCGCGCGGCCTGTACGCGGCGAGCAGCCAACAGACAGGTCAAGAGTCAAGTCCTGAGTGCTCTCTTAATATTGCATGGTGATTCTTCTGTTCGTGATGCGGTGAGCATGTGCGGCGCGCTTTGCTATAGCTGCTGCACGGCACGGTGATCACTGCCGCTGGCCACTGTGACTGCATATGCGACTCAGACTGGGCTGGCTGCGCGCATCTTGCATGCGATAATGGTAATTGATGAATCTTCGCAGAGCCCACAGCATCCTTGAGAATCACGTGGATTCGTCTTGATAGATTCAAGATTCAAGATTCTCAAGATTCAAGATTCACAACATCCTTCACTCAACTCACGACTTAGACTCTGGACAGCCTTCCTTGGTGCCCTGTTCTGTCTTGCCCTGCCCTGCCTACCTGCCTGCCTCCACCACCCTTCAGCCCTTTGCGCTCTTTCTTCCTCCCACTCACGACTTTCATCTCACAAGTCACAACAGCCATTGAAATTGCGCCGAATATTGGCCGATCTTTCGGACTTTGCGTTAAGTCCAATCCGATCCATCTTGTCCAGACACGCGACGACGCCATCAGCCCTGCCCAGCGACGATCGCAAAGACTGTCGTCCCATCTGCAAGTGCTGCATCCTTTTAGCTTCTCGGCAGAACAGGCAGAGACGTAATGTCGTCCAGCTCAAGCACGAGCACGGTATTAGAGGCGCTGGATGCGCTCTACAAGAATCCTGATGGCGGCGCAAAGAATCGCGCGAACGCCTTCCTGCAAGAATTCCAATCTCAGGTGAGCAGGAGGAGCGAGCCGGAGAGCACTGAATGCCGCATCAAGCTGATGCTGATGATGATGATGATGCTGACGCGCTGCCGAGCGTCGACACGCTTCCTGTCGACGACTATTCTGCCTTGCCTTTGCTTGACAGAATGAAGCGTGGGAGACGGCCAATGCGCTACTGTTGGCCCAAGAGTTGCCTCTGGAGCCGAGACTGTTTGCTGCCCAGACTTTTCGAAGCAAGGTGGGTGCGCTGTGCGACACCCAGCACTCATGCCCCATGCACCGCCGCTCAACAAGCCTGCCCCTGCCCTGTTGCCCCTTGGCCCGCCCTTGCAGGTCATCTACGACCTTGCGAGCCTGCCAACCGAACAGTGGGCAGGCCTTCGCGCGACGCTTCTCGACGCTCTTCAGTCGTACGTGGGCGGTGCGAGGGTGGTGCAGACCCAGCTGAGCCTGACATTGGCTGCTCTCGCACTGCAGCTGCCAGACGGCTCAGACGCTGAATGGGGAGACCGCGTTGTGCCTGCCATGATCGAGCGGTTCGGCAAGGATCCCGCAAGCGTCGGCACCTTGCTTGAGTTCCTCACCGTCTTGCCCGAAGAAGTGACGTCGAATGCGCGCATTCCCGTTGATGTGAGGGCCGTGGCACCTTCGCATCTCACCGCTCAGCTCATCTCTCTGCTCCATCATTGATATCTTCCCCCACATCGATCCACCCCCTTCAGAATGAGCAGTACATTGTGCGCCTGCACACCCTGCTCAATGCACAAGCGGGAGAGGTGCTGCGCATCTTGTCAATGTACATCCAAGCCGAAGGTGCGCGCAACAGGAATAGCATGGGTAGAGAATGGCCTCTGTGTCCAGAACTAACCGATTTGCGTCAATCATACTTGCAGGGATCACTCCATCTCTGCAGATCTCGGTGCTCCAGTGCCTTCGCAGTTGGCTTAGAGCTGGCGAGATACACACAAGCAACATGATCCAGACGCCCTTGTTTGCGTTTGCATTTGATGCCATCAAGCATGAGGAGCTCTTCGACATCGCCATAGACGTCCTTTCAGAAATGATCAACGAAACCCAGGAAGTTCACGAGAACATGCCCATCATTGAGCTCATCATCTCGCGCTTGCTGCCTCTCCGGGAAGACTTGGCGCGAGCTATGCAAAGCGAAGATGAGGACAAGGTGCGGGGCTTGTGTCGCCTCTTCGTCGCTGCAGGCGAGACCTACAGGCTCTTGATCCTCAAACACAAATCAGAGTTTTTGCCAATCGTGCAAGCCATCGCGAGCTGCGCAGCGTTTCCCGAGGTGGAAATTGCTCAGATAACGTTCAGATTCTGGTGGCTGCTCGCCACAGTTTTAGCAAAGGCTAGGGAGGCGGACCCGGAGATCAAGCCCTTTCTGGAGATCTTCGAAAACCTTCTCAGCATCGTCATCAAGCTGCTGCGCTGGCCTGATGACGTCGATACCGCTTCCTCGAGCAGCGTCGCGGATCACCGAGACTTTAGACATTTCGTGGGAGACACCCTCAAGGACTGCTGTTACGTCCTAGGAGCAACCGAGTGCTTGGGCAAATCTCTGCAGATGGTCGAAGCTCTCCTGGCTCAGTCTCAGCAGGCTGCTGCTGCAGGCGCTCAGGGACCCAAGTGGCAAGACATCGAAGCGCCTTTGTTCAGTATGCGAGCCATGGGAAGTGAGGCCGATATGCGGGACAACAATGTTACGCCTCGGATCATGGACATTGTTGCTTCCTTGCCGGACCATCCCAAGGTCAAGTACGCGGGACTTCTCGTCATATCTAGATACACGGAATGGGTAGCTGGACATCCCGAACGAATTCCTACCCTTCTCAGCTACATCTCCAGCGGATTGTCCGGAGCCCAGGTGGACGAGACTGGTGCCGCGGCTGCTCAAGCCATCTTGTATCTCTGTCAAGATTGCGCACCAGTGAGTACGGCCCAAGGGATAGATGGCCTGGCCATATGCTTACAATCCTGACCAACGTGTGTAACAGCATCTTGTGGCCTATCTGCCGCAACTGTACGAATTCTTTACGGGGCTCAACACTTCTGCGCTCCCCGCTTCGGATCTGATTCCGGTCACCGAGGGAATAGCCTCTGTAGTTGCAGCAATGCCTACCGATGGCGCTGCGGAGACCGCGCTGCAATTCCTGCAACCGAATTTGGCGGCTCTTCAGCAGTTCGCTGCAGCTGGCCCTGACCAAGCAAAAGCGGCGATCGATCATGCCTCTGGTGCGTACACTCCACGTGTGAGCAAATGTGGTCCCCGACTCACCCCTGAGAGTTCCCACCACATTTACAGCGCGCATGGAGCAAATCCAAGCCTTTCTATCTGTGCTGTCGTCCAGCTCCGACTTTGGAAAGCAGCTACCGGCGTCGTGCTCGACGACTTGCAATGACGCATTCAGAATAGTGGACAGTATCGTTGCGCTCTACCCCAATTCGCCCCAGCTTGCCGAGCGCTCGTGCCAGCTTTTGCGGCGCGGTATGGCGCTCTTTGACGACCTGGCTACACCCATCATCCCATCTGTTCTAGGTCGCCTGGCGCCAGCATTCGTACAATCTGGAATCCCAAGCTACGCCTGGATTATTGGGAAATGCATCGATCTATGGAGTGACCGCGCTGATGCCGCACTACAAAGCGCCATGCAATCGGCTTTCGAGCAGGTCAGCAGTAAGGTCATACAAATGCTAGAAACGACGCCGACACAGGAGATGGCCGACAGTGAGTGCCAGACGCGCCAAAGACGTGTCTTTTGGTGTGCGCCAATGGATCGCCAACTGACTCATTCCCGAACTCTCTTCAAAGCGCTCGACGACTACATCTCGGCTTCTTTGCAGGTCTCGGCGCGAAATCCGGTGCTTCTTTTTCCAACACCAATCTTTCCGCACGCTTTCCGCGCAGCCGTCACAGCACTGACACTGCTTGATCAGCGAGTACTCGGCACTAGTATCGATTTTCTTTGCGAGGTCTTGGGGCACGACAGCTTGTCACTACCGGTCAATGAAGGACACGCCGGGGTGTCTGTGGTGCCATACGGAGAGCCGGGATCAAGAAGATCTGACACCCAGCCGACCGAGCTTAATCATGCTATAGCTGACAACGTCCGCAAAGTTGTGGCCAATCAAGGTCAAGCTTTGACGAGTGTGCTGATAAGTGGGCTTGTTGGGCACTTCCAGCCCGATATTCTGAGCACTGTCATGACAGCGATTAGATTACTCGCCCTCGCTTTCCCACAAGAGACGATAGGATGGGCAGCTCATGCGGTCGAGCCCTTGCCAAACACGACGGTGCCAAGCAAAGACAAGCACGCCTTCATGACGAACTTCTCGAAGTGAGTGATCAACCTTTGAGCGCACGCCGACCCCGCGACATGCTCACAACGTGGATTGTTTCAAATGCCAGCGCGATTGCCACGTCGTCCCCCGTCAGAACCGCACTCACAGGACTTTACGGGGCTTCGCGCAAATCGAGGGAGCGCGCACTGGTGGACAGGGACGGCGGCGGCGGTTTCGACGTCGACCGGCCGACCTGAGCGCACTACGTCAATGCTGCGCTTCGACGCGTCTGTGCTTGTTGCACTCTATCCTCAGTCTACGTACGACTTCTGACGAGACTGTGCGAAAAAGGCGCGCGAAGTATGGTACCGAGGGCGCATACCCGCCCCTCGTCGAATGAATGCCCGAGCATCGTATGCGAGTATAGCCTTCGAGTAAGACGTTTGCAGCACAATCTAGGTGTGGCGTGCATCTGCGCTGTCCGCACGTTGGTCAACTTGTGCCAGTGATCACACCATATGTGTCAGTGAGTTGAGTGATGGCGTTCTGACTGAAGCCCATCGTTGCCGGACCAGTGGACTTGGCGCGTGGTTCGTGGGCGTCACCGCTTCCCAGATGCACCGCGGGATTGCATCCCTCGTCTGTCAGCCCATTCCTTTGTATAGCGCATAGTAATCCGGGTCAGTCTCCTACAAATAGTGGAGAGGCGCGTGTGGGTGATCTTTGTGATCGTCACGCTTGAAGTTGAGCAAGAGGTCATTTGTGCTACACATTATAATCGTTGGCGTTCGAGTGTTCTGACCTTGGCGTTGTCACTTTTTGGGTCGCTGCTTGAGACTGTTGCGAACTCCCGGCACTGGCGCCTCATCATGTATCTGCCTAGGTCGACAGACTACGCATGAAGGAGTTGGAAAGACTGGAGGCTGCGTCTTCGTGTTGTTGACGCCCGGTGTCCAATGCGCAACTGCAGCATACTGGCAGTGGAAGGACGAGGGGATATCCGTGCCCAAAGTCGCGCCCGTATTCAAGGACACGTAAATTGCACAGATCTTGTACACCAATCAGCATCAGAGACTCAAGAATCGTCGCGTCTTGCCCATCCTGCCCTTTCAAGATCACCAAGCTTGCCGGGACCCGAGCAAGATTGGCTTGAAGCTCCTGAACACGCAGAGTGCTTCATCGACCCACCCTCGCAGACTAAGTGTCATTGCCATTCTGATCTCGTCACCTCACTCCCTCGACCTCGACTTAGCCCCTTGGTGGCTATGCTGCTATTTCACTTGTTGTTTGCTATGTGTGGATTGCTGTCACGGCTCGTGGGTGCGCAGGTCTCGTTGTCTAATCATCGACGGCAGGATGCATTCTCTTGCGAAGCAACAGTAGGACCCCCAACTTGTCCTGATGGCGCGCCTGTGCAACAAAAGCCGTCCTCGGAATCCACACCTAACGGCTGTGGTGATGCGCACCATGAACTTCTCACGACATTTTTGAATGCGGTGGTTCCACATTTCGTCGATGCTTGCAATCAACACGATGTATGCTACGGTGAGTGCGGAAGTCTTATTCTCGGACCTCAGAACTGAGTAGTCACTCCATCAATCCTACATTCTGCACACCAGGAATTTGTGGGGCAGACTTTGACATTTGCAACGCCGAGCTGAGGACAAATTTGAAGTCCGTCTGCGATTCATCCGACTTCCTCGACGATGACTGCGGAGATGGCGAAGATGACTTAAGCAGCGCTTGTAGGGCCGCAAAGCAAGCTCAATGTCGATCAGAAGCAGATATCATGTGGGCTGCCTTGAAGGTAAGGAAAGCCATTCTTTGTACTTTCCCGACTACAGCTTCTTTGATGATGCACTGAAGCTCGTTCTTCGTCCACACAGTTCAGCAAGCCGCTAGGGGTGATCGGAGTGGACAATGGCTGCGAGAATTTCCGCAAAGCTCAAGTGAAAGCGTGCGGATGTGATACTGCCTCGGCAGAGAGCGACTGAATAGCTGCGTCATCGTCTGTTCTTCAAATTATGGGCGACGCCGTGGGCCGGATCACGGCCTCTCTGCTTGGAAGCATATCTCGCCCACTTGTAAATGTCTGGCCTAGAGAGCAATGTGTCCAGAGAGTTGTACGTCGTTGCTAGCGCCATTTCATCGATCTTTGCGTGGATGAATGAATGGCACGGTCGACACAGCATACTGATGCGTGTTTGCATCTCTCGCTTGGTAAAGATGCCTCTACGCAGCAGCTCTTGATGCGTTGTTTTGGGAATGAGGTGGCTGTCAAAGCGAGAGCATAAGTTTCTGACTGTCAGCATCAACCTCGCCGCTACACTCACTGCTCTGTAAGCATCATGCAGCGTTCGCACAACTCGCACTCGCCAAGCGCTCCCTTCTTCTGCCTTTGAATCGTGTTGGCAGGGTCTTGCTCCTCAGCCTGGTCCCCATCCTGCTGCTTGCACAGCTTAGCATATACCTCGAGAACCTCGGAAGTGCACAGTACACTGTCATGTTCCTCCAAACCCAGCAGCTCTACCAAGGCGTTCTTCAAAATTGAGTGAAAAGGATGATTCTCCGCTTCCTTCATCGTGACGCTGCCACCATGGTCTAAGATCTTGGAGGCGTCCAAAGTCAAGCCTTGATGCTTCACCTCCTCTAATACGTATTCAGTGACCTCGAGCTCAAGTTCGACGTCGGAGTCATCGCCTTGCAGCTGCAAAATCTGCGCTTCCAATGCTAGCCTCAGCACATCGTACCTAGTGCTAATGATTGACCCGCTTGGCATTGCACATGAAGGTCTGCGAGGTGATGATGGTGTCAGCTGCTTACGAGAGCTGCACCTGGCTGGCGCGGCGCGTGTTGCTGGACAAAGCAGCACACTGCGAAGCATATGTCTAGCCTCCACATGAGACTCGGATACAAGACTGGGAACATCCAGTCACGTGCGCTGTCGTGACTTCAGCAGTTGCAGTCATGAGAGTGAGGAGTCTCGAGCAAGATGAGCCGTGCGTCGGATGCCTTGATATATCAGGGACTCCTGAACTTGCCAAGATTGCTCCCAAATTCTGATTTTGGTCGTGAGACTCCGCTCCCTTCAGGGGCACTGCGCAGCTCATTGATATACCCATTTACGACAAGCATTGTTGTACCCTCTGTGAGCACTACCCTCAACACCTTCATATAGCTTTTCTTGCGTCTATGCCTCCAGGCTTAAACAACAGGGCGGGCTGGTGCATCACTGCTGCCAAGAAATTGCTCAAAGTGTGCTCGAATGATTCCAAGTTGAAATTGAGCAGACGCGCCTTCACAAACAACTAACCGGCCAAGTTCCGTTCTATCGACGGCAATGAGTCAAGTCTTGACGAAGCAAGCACAACCTTAAATCTGAATCACATGCTTGAACCGACCAAGCGCAGACACCTGAAACTATGTAAAAGGCACTCACTACCTCATGTAAATCTGAGTGGCGTGGACTGATTCAGTGCGGTTTGTGGAATGTCGTTGAGGTGACCTGCTGCGTGCAGGTCTAGGAAGGAAACCCCCCTCCCCACCCCCTCCTTACCCCGTCTTTCGGTGGAACGTTTGCTGGCAAGAAGTCCGTAAACCGCTTTGATTTATAACACACCGAGCCTGATGCTGCCTTCCCAAGCCATCTAGCATCTAGCACCGATACGTAAGAGCGACTCCCGGGCCCTCGCTTTTCGAGTTAGCACGCAAATCAATCTCATGGCCAGTGCTCCCAATCTGTAGGATTGTGCTGTCTGTCTGTCTGAGCTGAAGCTGTAGGCCGGCCTACTGACACGACACGATTCGTGCTGCCAACATTGGTGGTCTGGGGTGTCACTGTGAAAAGGTCACGATATCACTGAAATGGATGCATTGGTAAGAAAGAGGGGGAGAGATTCTCTCTGTGTAGTGTTTACATGCATACGTATGCAGTGGTGACGGCGTACATCCGGTCGCGTGTTCTGACAGCTACCTATCAGGTCGAAGATTATGCTTGAAATCGCGTTGTGAGTAAAGAGTCAGAAACGATCATGCAGACTTCGTGTATCTGTCCTTTGGTTGAATTGGGTTCTTGCGGGGTGTGTCCGATTCGGCTGCTGAGATAGCACTCACTGTGGTGACCCTCTTTCATCACTGCGACCATGCCTCGGATAAGCCATCCTGAGATGGCTGCTCGACAACCTGAAAGTGGCGAGTTGCGCCTCGAGGCTTCGATGATTGCGCATTTTGTAATGCACAAACGAGAAGTCTTTTCCGATCTCCGGCGTGGCGCCAGAAAGCAATGCAATAAAAGCCGAAATGCTGATGCGAGTTCTCATGTCACATTGCTATACTCGAGACTGCCGCATTTTGCGCTCGCCGATATTGCGCTGACTGGACCTGAGGAATAGGCACGGGAAAATGCACAGCACCATCGGTGACGCATTGCTACTTGCCGAAGCTGTTGAGCAATTATTCCTGGGAATGGTTTGTGGGAGAGGAAGCATGATTAAGGAAGTGCGGCCGGCGGCAGACGATAGGTGGTTTTTTTTTTTTTTTTCTCTTCCCTTACAAGCTCATAGCAGTCTCACGAAGGTCAGCAGCCCAGATTCACTTTACCTGCTGGAGAACAATTATCCGCGCAACGTCTGGACGGCCGTGGCCATGAGCCCGACACTATGATTTCGAGTCATCAGAACCTGGCTTCACAACCGAAGCGGTAAAGCAGGCAGGTAAGTAGTTTATAGAGAGCGCTCTAACGGTCGAAGTCCATCACGTCTGCACCGAGAGAGCCTTGCCCCAGTCTGCGTTAGATTGTACGTTCGTCTTGACGTCCCAAAGTTTGTCAGGCTAGGATGAGTATCGCACTACAGCGAAATGTCTGTGAAGAACTTCGCTACAAGCCCACTAAACAAAACAAGAGGAGCAGACTGCGCCGATTTGCCTCGACCCCGGGAACAGTTCAAATAAATAGCCTCTATGGGGCATGACGGACAGCACCTGCAGCCAGAGAAGATCCGCTGGAAGTGCTGTTGAAAGCTCAAAGTCTTAGTTCCAGCAGAAATTGTTGAGCGTAGGAGCTGCGTGACGCGTTGACGACCTGACATCTCCCAACGCCCTTCTTGGAGGATGTCAATGGCACATATTCTATCGCTTCGAGTGTGAGCAGCAGATCATGGTGGAATCTTGTCTGATGCTAGAAGCGTTTTCTTGTAAGTCTAATACCAGCGACTTCCCTAATTATGACCACTCGTCGCTCTTCTCTCTCTTTTTCAAGGCGCGTCGAGATATCTGTGATGGTCGAACAAAAGGGCACTGATCCGAGTGAGTCACATGGGCAAACCGCAACATAGTGTTACTTCTCTGAAAATTCATCTCAAGAAAAATCCACCATTCTCTCTTTGGTCAACAAAGCCGCAGCGGCGGAGGTACAATCCACGCGTAGCCGCTGCAATCTCTTCGCTCAATCTTGCACTATGCTGCATCTCTTTATCTGGCTTGCTCAAGATAAAATTTAGAAATTGTTTACGCTGCATGAGCGCGCGGAACATGGTCAAGTTCAGCGCACGAGGCTATACGAATGGCTGTGCTAGGCACACTCCACTGTTTCCTACTGTATGATGGAGCGGCTTTGGCCGCTTGGTTTGAAAGAGCTGGATGCTGCGACTACTTTCGCCGGGCGTCACCACCGGGCAACTTGTGAGGCCTTGCGTCCTGATTGCCAATTGTCCGTCTCATGGTTCACTTTGTGAATGCTCGACTATGGCTGGAGGAGTCTGATTGCAAATTGCTGTTCATTTTTTGATCCCGTGATAATCCCACGGGAATGCTGTGCAGCAGGGGTCAAAGCATAAAAGAGACATGAGCGACTGCTGCAAGGGTAGCAGAATGTCTCCCGTTTCATCTGTCCGATATCCCTTGTTTTCGGCAAGCAAGCAGAATAACATCCACGTACTGTGTGAAGCTTTGTAAACTTCCGTCGGGATTTATGAAGGGGGGGCGGGGGCGAAATGCCGTACTTGATTTTTTGGTCAGAATCCCTAAGACAATGACTTTAGTACTGCGTGAGCAGCTTCACGGGCCGTGAAATCATGCGCCAGAACGCTAGACTTCTCAAGATATACAAGCCCTGCTGTGACTGCTCTGGGGCATGACGTGGAAGAACCCTCAGCCACACGGCTCCTATGTCGGCCTTTTCGTTGCTCGACATGCAAGGTAGCGTCAAAACGCTGGCTTGGATCGAGTGACCTCGGCAATGTTGCTGTGGGAAATATCTCATTCTGTAGCAGTATATAGCCAGTAGAAGTGCATGAAAATTGCATCAAAATTCGGAAAACCTTACATGCAGCTGAAAGAATCACGAGTTCGAAGACCCACGGAAATACGAAGGACGAGTGTGGAGTGAAATTTTGCGCTGACCAGACCAGAATCTGGCATCAGAACTCGAATGTTCGAATCTTGGTTTGAAAGACAACACTCTCGAAATTCACACCACAAGCACTCAAGTGCCCCAGAGTCTGAGCTGACGACATAGGAATAGATTATGAGCTCGAAGCGGGACGTACAAGCCTAGTCCGAGCTCGAAATGGAACTTCCCTGGCGCTCAAACCAAAGACTCGTGACGAATGGTCTTCGACTCACTGTGAAAACCGAAAGCACGAAACGTATGAGTCAAGAACGCGACAAGAATGCGTATCACAACTTTGACAGCGTCCGCCAACAGTCATACATGACAAATCTGCGTCTAGTGGTGCAAGCAGAGCCCTTGCAGAAGATCGAACAGCATCGATTCGCTCTCACTTCCTACTTTGCAGCCTCCTGCGTCAACTGCTGGCTTTTTAAAGTAATCGATCGGTGTGGAAGAAAATCTCTCACGCTGTTCTTCACGTAGTGGGCTGAAAGAAATGCTCCGATAATCATCTTGGCTCGAAGCAACCCTTACACCGAGGTTTCAATGGATTTGATCAGCGTGGCTTCATTGCTACGCCACGTGCGGAAGTGCTAGTTGACTGACCCGAATGATGATGCTGTGGAGGCGTTGCCGGGCACTTATTTGGGCGAGGAAAGCAGCTGTCATACTTCTTCGTGGTGCTACGTCGCCCCGGACATTGTAATAAATTGCGAGTGCTGCCAGCGAGCTGACTTCGAATGCCCTGCTGAAGCCATCGAGCTTGTCATCTGTCATCATATATCATGAACGACAGCACAATCGAAATCAGTCAATTCAGCACGTCTTTCCAAGGCCTCACAACTTCACATGCAGCACTGACAGCCTACATGTCCTCAACGTCAATCTTGTACGAAATGCCTGGGTCGATTCGTAGCTCGCCCATAAGTAGGCAAGTGGCCATTGCATTGGCTCATGGGCAAGCGCTGAGCATGACGTCGAACGTTCTTCCGACCACGACACTTGTCAGAGCGGCTCACCAAGGCAAGAAACGCGTTGGTGACAATTCTACCTGCCTCGCAGAGACCGAAACTCAAGTGATTTCACGGGTGTCCGTGGCCCAGCATCCCTGGACCTGGCCTAGCAGAGCGAAATACAGCGCGTAAGACTGGTGTGTCTCTGTTTGTAACGTGCAGATGTTGACGGATCAAGCTTTGTTCTGCAGGGTATTTTGGCTGTTTGCGTTGACCATCGCGGTCAACGTCAATGGCGCTGGATTTGCACCGATCGCTGAGTCCGTGGCGAAGGAGCTCAACACCTCGAAACAGACGCTCTTGGTAGGCAATGCCTTGTACTTTGTAGCACAGGGCGTTGCTCCACTGTTGTTAGCACCGCTTTCTGAGATCCAGGGTCGGCTTGTGATCTACAGTGTGAGCGGTGCCTTGTTCTGCCTCTTGTACATTCCCCAGGCGCTTGCTCGCCATGCGGCAGTGTGGATCTTGGCAAGGATAATCCAGGGCTGTGTAGGCTCCGTAGTCGAAGCCAACGTGGGTGGTTCACTGGCAGATCTATTCCATCCTTCACAGCGCGGCGTCATTCTGAGCGCGTACGTGGCTACAAATTACGTAGGCACCGGGTGCGGACCTCTGCTTACTGCTGCTAGCGCATCCCTTGGCTGGAGGTCGCAGGCATGGATTGCAATGGCTTTGGCGGCATCGGTTGCCATTGGCTTGCTGATCTTTGGCAAGGAAACCCGCTTGCTGGACCCTGGTCGCGCAGACATATCGCCGTCATCACCGCCTAACGAACCACTAGAATCACAGTGTTCAGAGCGAAACGGGTCTGATCGAGCCGACTCAAGATCTTGTGGACGCGACTTAGCTCGTCCGCTGGTATACCTCTTCACTGAGCCGATCGTCGCCATCTTCTCTGTATGGATTGGCTTTACTTTCGGGGTGTGCTATCTTGTGATCGAGAGCGCCTACATCATTTTCAAGGCTCAACCAACACCCTTCCACGGCTCCAAGGCCACCATGGAATACGGCTGGACCGACTTACAGACAAGTGGTGCGCTGTTGGCCTACGTTGCCGGCGCATTGCTAGGCTTTCTCACAAGTCTGCATCAAGAGAAGGTGTATCAAGGAGTCGCGCGGCGATGCGAAGGGCGACCAACTCCTTCTGAAGCACGTCTGGGCTGGTCATTCGTCGGCGGCGTGACCTTTGCTGCGGCATGCTTCTGGTACGCCTTCGCAGCACAACCCAACGTGCACCCGGCCGCCGCCATTGTGGCCCTGGCTTTCATAGTCGCCGGCGTGTTCCCAATACACTGCGCAAGCTTTGCTTATCTGGCAGACATCTACGAGGAGTTTGCAGCTTCTGCACTTGCTGGCCAGACCTTTGTGAGGACTGTGGCCGCAGGTTGCTTCCCTCTCTTTGCAGATGACATGTATCGCGCCTTGACGCCGCCAATTGCTTCTGCAGTCTTGGGCGCTGTTGCTGCGCTCCAGTGCGCAATTCCGCTCATCCTGATGCGATATGGGCCGGCACTGCGCGCGAGATCAAGACGCGCTTGATCGTTGGAAACGCCAGCGATGCGGTCGATGAACAGCCCTTTGGGTGCCGGCGCTAAGAAGAACAAATACATGATTACTAAGCGTGCGGTCGCAGTCTGCTACAAGACATTCGAAATCTTTACAACCTTCCTGCTAGGGACCTGACAAAGCGTGATGCCAAGGACCGGGGAAATTTGGACGTGAACTGCGTGACGTGTAGCGTTGAGTACGCCGGTGTTCCTCAGCGGTAAGGCGGCTGGAGGCCAGATCACACTCATGACGCCTCAGATGGAGCGTGTTTACGTTGCTGCAATTCTTCAAGCACGTCTGAGTGAGGGGCGTAGTTCGCGTCAGAAGGCTTCAAAGGCGTAACCACGGTTCTAATTCACCTTTCCATTTCCGCTCATCAACGCGCCAGTAGGTCCAGGGTCCGCATGGATCGGTCGCTGAAAGGTGCGGGCATTCAGCGCAAGTCGAGAGCGATCTGCGCACTGTCTCTACACGTGTCGACTTACGTCGAAGCACTTCTTGAATAGCTCCCCTGTTTGCGTCGGTCCAAATTCCATACACGGCGGCGCGGGAACCAGGAGGTCCGGCCTGAACGCCCTCGAGTTTCCACCTCCTAAAGCACAAACGCAAGTAAGCTGTAGTGCCAGGGGTGTTCCAGTGATGTCAGGGCTTGACTCACTCCTCGCCGTCGTAGCTATGGGTAAAGGTCATATGAATGGCAGCAATTGCTCTCCTTTGTCCAATGGACTCGTCACCCGAAGTCGCAAATACTGGGCGAGCGACGCCGTGGACTCGCCCTCTTCTAGTAGCTCCTCCGCTCACGTCGCCGTCCTCTTCTTCGAGCGTGTAATGGTAAGTGGCACCTTCGAAGTGCAGAGGGGGATAGTCGGGATCTTGATGCTCGCTGCTGACATCCACCAAGTCTGCTCTGGTGCTCTTCTCGGCGGCACTGAGTAGCCTCAATCGAAGCTCCAAAAAGTCTCTGGCGGCGCGTGTTTGGAGTGTGGATCAGTGAGCGAGGTGAGTGGTGGGAGGTACGAGGGATGGCCACTCACCCTACCGCTTCGTGCACGTGGGTCAGCTTAGGGGGGTTGCTGTACTGTTGATGATCATGAGGGCCTGCCGTGTGTCCTCGCTGCGCAGCGACGAGGCCATTGTACGCTAGCCAATCGCTGAAGTCTAGGAATGCATAGCTGCATAGAAAACTGATCAGCGCAGACCTCGCATACCTGCGTCTCGGGGTCATGTGGTCACGTGTCACTTTCTGCACTCACGTTCCGATCCAAACACCTGCAAGACGGGTTCGGAGGCGTAGGCGATGAGCGAAAGGGAGGGCAGCGAGACGTCCATCGGCTTCTCACCTTCGATGTGAGCCCAGTCGTGCGAGTCAGGAGACTCAAGATTTTGAGGCTGCAGTTTCTCGCCTCGCGAGTGTGCCCATCCCCAGGGAGGTAAAAGGAGGTGTGAAGTCCTGTTCTTGGCGTGCTCAGGGTCCACAAAGTCATCATGCGACGGGGCACCAAGCTGTGGGTTGAGAGAACGCGGACCGGCAGTTGCTGATGCAAAAGCGGCTCCCCAGTGATGCACTTGCCGAGCGTGCAGAATGTTACATCGCATCTGTAAAAACACAACACGTAAACACTGAGCGAGAAGTCAGGGGAAGGAGCAGATCCAATGTTGTACGCACCACAGTCTGTATCGCTTCGAGTGCAAGCCAATTGACGGTCTTTCTATGGGGAATGGGATGTAGCAATCTGCGTAGCTTTGCATTGCGCATTTCTCTTCTTGCAAGACCGCCTTGTGCTTGCCCTATGAGCAACCTCAAACGAAATTCCACTGAGTCACTCCCAAATTCATCCCCTTCCATCAACGAGAAGAGGCCTTCATAATCCGACGTCTCTGAAGTGAAGTCTTCGTCGCTTTCATCTTCGGACAAGAAGAGCACGCCGTCATCGGCTTGTGCTGCGCCGGCGATGTGGTCTTCAGGCTGGTCTAGGGGGAAAGGACTGCCTTGGCTGGAGTCAAGGCTGATGACTTCGATGATGCCGTCAGAGTCCAGCTCGGAGCTCGAATCGCCCAGGTTATGCTCATCGTTGCCTGAGGCATCAGTCGATGTCGCAGGCGAAATTTCCGCCCCCTCTTCCACGTCGCTCTCTGGTGCAACACTCGATGTGAGGTTGAAGCTGCTTCGTTTGCGCCCGGTCGCAGCGGTCTCGCCAAAAAGGTAGCGTTGCAAGAGAACGACATCGGGAGGTCGGAACACGTGTTCTGCAGGCTCGGATTGCATGTACCGAGATAGATGATCTTGCAGCCACCCGTATGATGCGTCAGGATTGCATGACAGTCTTTCCTTGACTGTTGTAAGGCTGGCAAGAAAGGATGGTAGCTGTGATTCCACCCAACTTGGTGCGCAGCACGTCGCGATGTGGAAACGGCGCATGACATCATTCGCGGAGGGCGAGAGCTGAGGGTCATACTTGTAGTGTGGAATTTCTGCGAGAGAAGAGGGGAGGTTGGGGGATGTGGTGGAATCTTCTCCCTTGTGGATCCGCGAGCGTGATTCGTTTCTTTCCGTCTCGCAGAGAAGAGGGTCGAGATGCCTGAGATTGGCCGGCAAATTATCCTCTGCGTCACCTGATTGATCGAAGGCATGGAAGGGACCCTGGGAGACGATCTGGTAGTCTGTGAGTACTCGGGTAGCCAATGCTTTGCGTCCATTGCCATTTGAGCGCTTACCCAGCCGTTCGCAGTTCCCCACCGAGCGGTATCTATTTGCAGGGCGGTCAGCGTAACGCCTCTCAGACCAGCTTCTATGACGTTGCAAGAAACAATGCGACGCACCATAAACGATTCTTTTGGCCGCAGCGCGCAGAAGAACGTCGCCAGGTGGTCCTTGTGTGCTGCCAAGGCTCGCTGCGTGTCCAGTGAGAGTATTGGCGGGATACCACAGTCGAGGATCCGAGATCAGGTCAGCTTCCTCATCTTCGAGCTCTGAGCTGGATCCCGGGTCCACGAAAGCTCCTGGGGTGTGCTCTATGCTGCTTCCAATCGCGCGCATAAGCTTGCACTGAGCCTCACTGCGCCTGTGCACGCTCCGCAGTGTCCCTTTGCGATTCATACGTGGGTGCGAATCTCCACGGTTAGGCAGCTTGTGCGCCAGACTTTGGGCGAAGACGTCGTCGAGCATCTCTCGCGGGCCGTAGTGACAATGCAATTCGGCTGCGAGCTCCTCGTCCACAGGAGGGATCTCTTCCAGCGAAGTGGGCAAAGCGCGTTTATAGGCGCCTCCCAGATTCGTAGCCTTTTCGAAGATGTACCTCAAGTGTTGGGGCGTACTGGCATGCCGAAGGCGAGCCGAACGGCGATCGCCGCCTCGAAAGGCCGCGGTGGAACGTGCCCCGTTTGACGAGGCGTTGGCCTTGTAGTTCTTCTTGAAGAGCGGCTCTGCTGTGCTAGCGCTGCTGAATTGGCCGTCCAGAATCGATTCTTGCATGACGTGGCCACGCTGTCCAGCGATGCCCGTGTTGTGTTGCTGTCGCTGCCATTCGGCGACCTGAGCACAAGCAGCCCGAGGATATATCCAGACGGCAAACGCTCTGCGCCCAGCAGGCGTGTCGTCGAAGAGTCTGGTGAGGGTTTGGGAGGCGCGACTGGGTGGCAAAATGCCGTTGGCGCGATTGCACCTCAAGGTGCGTGAGTGCAGAGCAGCAAGCAGCGTGCGACACACGTCGGCCTGGTTGGCGAGCTGAGCGGACGTGGAACCCAACAAAGTCGATGACCCAAGGTTGAAAGTGTAAGACTGCAGACAAAGGTGCTCGAAACCACGACTTGGCTAGCGAAGCGAAACGCACCATGATGAGTTCGCATTCTGCTCCCATTCGCACCAGCGTTGCAGCACGCGCAAATCGCTTGGCTTGCTCGTCCGGTCTGAACTCGTGCCGCAAATGCGAGCGAAGGCTCTTCTGTATGGAAATAGCGGGCCTGACATCGCCTTGCTCGCATAAGGCTCTAGCCTTTGCCTTGCCTTTGTTCTTTGCGCGAGATGGCGCATCGTCATGGTGCAATGAAGCCTCTGCGACGGCGGTCTCCAAGGGATGACCGATGTAGGGGTAGAGCAATGTGCGCTCACCATCGGGCGTATCCCACCTCGAGTCGTAAAGCAGCTTCCAGAGATGCGCTGCAGATGCAACGTGGCTCTGGAAGCGCTTGCACGTCAAATGCAGAGCCAGCAGAGAATGCGCGTCAAGGCTGACCAGGATGAGGTCCAGCAGCTGAGCCAAGCAGCGGAAGGATCAAGGATCAGCCTGACCGATGAAATTATGCACCTTTTGAGCTCCAAAAGACGACACTTAGACTCACCTCTGGAGGTAAGCGGATAATGGATGCCGAAGCAAGGAGCGCAGGGGCTTGGATGGTAGCGTCCATGCCCGTCTCGTCAGCCCGCCGTTTGCTCGGGGTGATTGTCAGGATGGCAGTCATGCTGGCTTCACGGCCTCTCCAGCAAGGCGAGAAAGATGTGGACGATGGGCATACACCGTTTTGGTACTCTTTTGCGGATCAGCACAGCTTATTGCGAGGGGCGCAGGAGTGAGTTGGCAAGTCTGACTGGGCTGTCTGGGACACGTCGATGGAATGCAAGGTGGCCAGAAGGATTGACTAGGTGAGTGCGTGAAGTCCAGATGAGAATAGCACTAGACTACTGACACATACCCGAGCGCTCAGTCGCCTCGTGGATCGTGAACGCGAGTAGCTAATCATCGAATCATAACCAGGAATCAAGAATGTGAATCAAGAATCAAGAATCAACATGTGAATGTGTGTGCGGCGCTACGTTGGCTGCACGCTTGGCTAGGTGCTTGTGCGGACTGGGCCGCGCACAGTCCTGCGCGTCGCTCGCGGAGCGGAGACCACCTGCGCAGGTCTTGCATCAGACTCTTGACTCAGACCCACTCGCGGGGTAACTGGTTTACAACAATCGCGTGAATATTAAATGACGAGTCAAGAGTCTGAGTCAAGGGTCAAGAGAGAGTACAAGTCAAGAGTCAAGAGTCAAAAGTCAAGAGTCAAGAGTCAAGAGTCATTCGGGTGAGTGAGTTGAAGTCTCGAGTCGAGACCCGGTCGTCAGCAGTAGTGATTCGGTCAATGAAGTACGGTAGACGGACGCAAGCTGATCTTACTGACGCTCGTGACTGCTGACTTGACATTCGGGCAGTCCTTATGTGGCATCATTTCTCCACTCGAAGTCAACGTCTTCTGATGACTTGAATACCTGTGCCGCGCTCAGCCGAATTGAGGGTCGCCGCGGCACGCGAGTAGGTGATCAGTCAATGACCATCAGTCAAGTCTGAACTCACGAATCTTGGTAGTCAAACGTTCCACATGCGTGCTGGTGGTGCAACATGCAGTGCCAGTGTACCTAAGCGCGACCAAGCAATCAAGCCTCCGAGTGACTGAATCGTGGACAAGTCGATGGGACGAGGCATAGTCGTGAGTAGTCTCGAAAACAGATCATGGCGAGATGACCACACGGCCGCCGTTCCCTCTTCGTCGCTCAAGTGTGAGTCAGCAGTCAGTGCGGCGGCCGATCAAGCCACGTTGATTGTGATTGCAGCTTCAAATCACATTCAAAGGTAGGTATTAACCAATAGTAGTTATAAGTATGTCTTGATTGTGCCGTCCAGCATCCGGCGTTGCGTAGCTATGCAGCATGCACCCGCGCTACGTGAGGGAATGAGAAGCGCCACTTGCTAAGAGACATGTCGCGGTGGACTTCAATTTGAATGATTTTTTGATTCTCGATTCTTGATTCTTGAGTCAAGATTCACGATTCTTGACAGAAGTCAAAGTCAAGAGTTTTGAGTTTGAGTGTCGAGCGAGACTTCTGCTCACGTGACTCAAGATCGCGGCTACTCGTGATTCAAAATTCACTCTTGACTCACGACTAACGACTCCATCCGCGCCTCAGCAACAGCACAAATCAAGACTCATCAGCTGAAACAGGCAGGCGAGGATGTCCCGCCGGACTTTTGATATACGTACATCCATTCACACTCGTGACTCACATTAGAAATGGTCCCTTGAGGATCGCACAACTACTCCCTCTCTCCCCCTCTACCCTTGAAGCCGCGTGTCCTGGACGGCTGGCGGTTGTTGCGGAGAGCAGAGTCAAGTCGTGTGCCTATAAAGTCTGTCGATGAACAGCTTTTTGAATCTGAGTCAAGAGTCGTGCCGAGCCTTTGCTCGTGCAGCTGATGACTCTGCGATTCACAGCACTTGACTCGTGCCTCTTCTGACTAGCTGCTGTCCCTCGATCGAATTCGCCCACTTGGCCTGAATCAAGAGTCGCAGTACAAATCTTTGAGTGTTGTGACTGAACTCGTGGCTCGCACTTCCACAGCAGCGCACAAAACGAGGAGAAGGGAATTTTCGCGCAGAGATGCATAGAGGTGCATACACTTTGTGCGGGGCGCATATGCACCGTTCATGGCGTCACGCGCGCGTCGCTTTGTCGGCACTGGGACTGTGACTGTGACTCACGACTGCAGCTGGTCTGCCATCGCGGCACTTTTGACTTGTTCTCTGCATTCGCATTCACGTATTCACCATTCAAATTGCATTTTGATTGCATGGGGTCTTGTTCTGCAGCCGAACGGCTGTTGACTCGCCTGGAGCTTGAGCCTCTAGCCTCCATAGAGGTCGCTCATCATGCATGCTTCTTTTGCCTCCGCCGCTTCTCATGCTGCCCCCCCGATTCGCGTTCGGCTCAGCTGTTGTGCCTCATCGCCAATCACGAATTGCACTCGGACTCCTTGCAAGGGCGCAGTCCCCAAGACCACGAATAAGCTGGCAAAGGTAATCGGACAGTCACGAGCGAGGATAGTGAGTCGCAGTGCAACACTCACATTTCACGCTTCACCATGCATGCATGCATGCATGCAGCAAGAGCGGACTGACAGCCTCTTCTGCATGTTTCCCCGCCTTCTAGCCCAGACCCCCTCGTCTTACCATCAGCAGCCGCGCACGCATTCGTGATGCGTGATTCACGTATCCCCCACACGCGCGCATCCGTCAACCGAGCGTGGGTGGGGGGCCCTTTCAGACGCATCGCAAATCCCTCTCATCCCTCTCTTCCCGCCACGCCTTTTGCTAAACCTCGCACTTTACCCCGCTCTCTATCCTTCCCTTCTTCTTCACCCCCCCTCCTTTTACAAACACCCCTCCGCCTCCTCCATCTCTACTTTCCCTCCTTCGCCCTTTTCTTTATTCGTCCCGACTTGCAAAGGCGTTGAGGTCGCACCCACCTCGCTGCCTCAACATGGCCGACTTTATCGACTACTCGAGGCGCAACCGCACCCCTTCGCCCACAGACAACGCCGGGCAGTCTCACGGACAAGGAGACAACAACCCCTTCTCCGATGGCGGTGATGTCGAGCACGAGAGTGGTGTGGCTCAGCAGCGACCTGGAGGTAGAGGTCACCACTTCGACGTGGAGTATCAGCACACTGCTGCTCCCGAGGAGGGTCAGCACCAAGCCTCCGGCACCGACAATGGCGCTTTCTTCGACCCAGAGTTCCCGGAGGCAGCCCAGGCCGATGGCGATCTCGAGATCGTCTGGTTTCCCCACGTCGTTGCTGTGAGCATGAGTCTTCCTCTGACGTCTGCAGCGACACTGCTGCAAGATGTGCTTGGCGTCATGCTGACACCGAATCTCTTGCTGCGCAGCGTTACCCTTCCATCGGCAAGATTGGCAAGCTGCGTGTACAATTTCGTCAGACCGTATCATTCGGCCTCACGATCGGCGCTCTCGGTCTCGTCCTCGTCGCTGCCTTTGCTCACTATCTGAACCCTTTCAAGAAACGCCGCCCCCATGTCGGCACCGACAGGGAATACGAGCGCCGAATCACTGGCGAGCGCCTTTCCGGTCGACCGCAGTACTACTCCGAGTTCTGGGGCTACAGATGCGACGAGCACGACATTGTCACCGAAGGAGGATGGATTCTCAAAGCTCATCGCATTTCAGACCCTCGCCGCGCCGGTCCCCCCGGCCACCCCGTCATCCTGCAGCACGGTATTCTTTGCAACTCTTCGCACTTTTTCCTTTGCGAGGAGCGTTCCATGGCGTTCTGGTTGGTGGACCAGGGATACGATGTCTGGGTCACCAACATTCGTGCGAACTTCAACGCCGGCCACACAGAGTACAATGACTGGGACCCTCGCTACTGGGCTTGGGGTCTCAAGGAACTTGCTCTCGACCTCCGCGATGTCGTCGAGTTCATCTCGGGTGCCACTGGCTCTCCTCGTGTTGCGTACGTCGGTCACTCGCAGGGCAGTGGTTCGATGTACCTCGCTCTTTCGCCGGGCATCTGTCCGGAACTGGGCAACAAGTTGAGCAGCTTTACCGCCATCGGCCCCTCCGTTTACGCCGGTCCGGTCCTCCGAAAGTTCCCCTTCAGCTTGATGCGCCAGTTCAGGTCCAGAAAGTGGTGGTCTTTCGTCTTCGGCATTCGCGAGTTCATTCCCGCGATCGGTCTCTTCCAAAAGTACCTGCCCGCATTCTGGTTCGGCCACCTCGGCTACGTCGTCTTCCACTTCCTCTTCGGCTTCAGCGACACCATGTGGGCTAGACGCCACAAGCCCAAGATCTTCCGCTCCCTTCCCATGCCCACTTCATCAGAGCTGCTCTATTGGTACATGGCATCTTTCAGCCACCGTGGGTGCATCTTCGACCCTCGTGTCCAGGAGCCATGGTTCCCTCGCACCTTCCCTCGTCACACCGTCATCGGTGGCTCCCTCGACATGCTCGTGCTCGCCAGGCCTCTTTTCGCTCGTCTGGAAAAGTTCGAGCGCAACGTTGACATCGTGCACGCCGTCGAACTGGAAGGCTATGAGCACCTGGACTTCATCTTCGGCACCGACGCATACCGCACAACATACCCTCTGATTCACGAGACTATTCAAAGCTCGTTGACCGACTCTGAACGCAACCCAGAGATGGCTGAGCGTCGTTGAGTCACATGCTCCCTTGCACGCTCTGCCTTCACTACAAGCGATATCAGGCAGCCCGATCTTGCGTACTCCAACAATCTTTCGACGCTTCGCATTGTTTCAACTTTTCTTCATTGCAAACGACTCCGACCTACCTTGGAGCATTTGCTCGATACTCCCGCGAGTCACACTTGTTGCCCCAGCCCCCTCTTCTACCTGCCCGCTCCCTATTTTGCACTGACCGCTGCCGAATCGTTGTACGCAATCCCTTTCACACATGCGCTGCCCACTTAAGTGCCTGCGCTCGCTACCGGCATCGGTACAGCTTGAGGAATCTCATTATAGCTAACCTCAGGTGACCTCTGATGATTGATATTGTGCGCAAAGCGCTGGAGCCGCTGCGCGATTCTTGGACGATTCACGCGATAGCAACGTGACCGGTATCCTCGGTAGCCTGGCTCACTAGAGCACCTGCACCTTCTTGGGTGTCTTCTATCCTCACCTCGAAGCCGTTTTTGGCGAGGTATTCCTTGACTTCCTGGATCGAGACTTCCTTGCGATGGAAGATGCCAGCGGCCAGAGCAGCTTCGACAGATGAAGGGCTGGGCGTCGCTGGCTCCGAGGCCTTGCTGCGCAAGACCATTGGCTCGAAGACGTCCTGAAAGTGTTTTGCGGATCCTGCTCCTGAGCTGGCGACGACAGGGACGTTGACGCTCGATCTGACCAAGTCTATCAATTGCCTGTCGAAGCCGTTGCCTTGTCCATCCATATCTATGCTGTTGATCAACAATTCTCCAGCCCCTAGCCGCACCACACCGCGCGCCAATTGTACCACATCCAAGTCCTTTGCTTCTCTACCTCCGGATACCGTACACTGATACCACCAACACTTGCCCTCGTCCGCCGTACCTGCGAGCCCGCTGACGATGCTACGCTCGTGTGCGTGTCCATTCACTTCTTGCTCCGAAACGTACACTCGCTTGGGATCGATCGAGACCACCACAGCTTGTGCACCGTACGCTTTAGAGATGTTTTCGATGCCAGTCGTGCCTTTTAATGCTTCTGCAGGCGCATTGCCAGGATCTCGCGCTTCATGCTCAGCACTTCCTAATGTTTGAGATTCCGAAATAAGGTCCAGGACGGCATGGACGGCCTCGCTGCCAATGCTGACCTTGTCGGCCCCAGCTCTAAAGTACGCATCAGCTACCTCCTTGGCTGAACGTTTGGTGCCGTCGGGATCGACGGTGTCTTTGATGCCCCCGCCCACAGTGAGAGGAACAAACACGCATGCAGCAGCAGCCTCGACGACTGCCAACATGGGCTGATCGCGGAGTGCGGCCGACCGGAATGAGGTGATGTTGAGGAAGCACACTTCATCTGCTCCTTCCTGGTAGTACCTCTCCGACAACGCGACTGGCTTGCCAAGATTTCGGACCGCCCTTCCTCCGGCATCCGTACTCGTCGACTGCTCGCGCACATCGTAAGATTCGCCTTTCGTCACCACCAGATCGCCTTGGTCGTTGCTTCGCACATCCAGACAAGCCACGACACGCTTCGTCAAGCCATCCTTCTGAGCCGGTTGGACGGCTTGAGAAAGTGGCTTGGGAAGCACGCCTCTTTGCGGCGGGCTCAAACTGGTGCTTGAGCCCGCTGCACGATCGAGCCAAGCTTTGAGCACCTCCAAGCCCGCCCTGCCGCTCTTCTCTGGGTGGAATTGAGTGGCAAAAACGTTTTCGTTGGCGATCGAGGAGAGAAATAGTTCCGTGCCGTACTGCGTAGTGGTGAGAGCCCACCGTTCGTGCTGGTCAGGAACAACGGCAGCCCTGTAGCTGTGGACAAAGTAAAAGTGCTGTGGGTGCGCTTGCTCGTCCGAAAGACCAAATTGCGAAGCGAAGGATGCATCGACGACTGTGTTTGCTCGATTCCAGCCCATGTGAGGTACGCTCTTGCCGCGATCCCTTTCATCGAAGCGCTGCACCTTGCCGGGCACGACGCCGAGACCCTGAACGCCCGGAGCTTCGTCAGAGGACTGGAAGAGGACCTGCATGCCAATGCAAATGCCCATGTACGGCTTGCCTGATCGAATGTAGTCGTGCAGTGCGGTCAGGTAGCCTGACTTTGACAATGACTCGATGGCAGGCCCGAATGCGCCAACGCCGGGAAACAGCAAGGCCTGTGGGATTTGTTTTGGCAAGAGGTGGCATTGAACATGCGCGTTAGAATGCGATTTCGGGCTCGGGTGTATGCGCGAGGTGGAGAAAGACTGACGGTGACATTGTCGCTTTGCAAGTCATTTGGAGAAGTGACCCACTTAAAGTCGTGGCCCAACTTGCGAATCGAGTTGGCCAAGCTACGAACATCTGCGATGAGCAGGCAGGAGGGAGTGCAGGTGTAGGTAAGCAGCGACGAGATGAGGCCATCAGGGCCACGACTGTGATCACTAACTGCCTGCTCCGTAGTCGAGAAGATAGAGCATGACGAGGAAAGCGAGTAGGCAGGCCAGGGAAGAGAGATACAGAGAGGATGCAAGGTTGGTGGTGGTGAGGTAGAAGGTATGGGAGAGTCTAGCTTAGGTTGCAACAGACAAATTGCTGTGCTGTGCTCGAGGGTGACCTCGAGTCAAAGGCAGGGTTGATGCGAGCCAAAGTATGGCAACAGCAAGACAGAGATTGAAATCAGACTGTTCTGTTGCGAATGCTCAGAGATGACTCGACGAACTTGCGAACTTGCGAATGAGCAAGATCGATGGTGAATCAACAATTTGAAGTCGTGAATCAAGAATGTGATCGAGTCATGCCATCAGAGTTGAATCAACGATTCACAATTCGAATTTGATACCTGATTCAATAATTGCAGCTCACAACTTGACGTGCGTGACTCTTGACTGCCGTGCGTGCCTGCGCCTGCAGATCTTCGCGTCCCTCCACTCATCACGTGAAATCAGAATTTTAAATTTCAAGCGGCAAGAATCACGAATGCAAAGTCAAAAATCACGATCGTGAATCACGAATGTTGTTTTGAATCTCGCTCAAGAATCCCCCTGAAGTCAAAAGTATTCGCAAGCGTTAGACTCACGACCAACCGTTGGGCAAAATTGGGAGATCAATCAGGATCAACACCCACCAAGCTTCATCCTCGCCTCTCGTCGCCTCGCCACACGCCTAATTGGTCGCGAGTCGTGATTCCAAAGTCTGAAGTTCAGTCGTCATTGATCAACAGTGCGGGTCAGCGTAGACTCCTGCCTACAACACCGCACGCGTCTCTGCACGCCGAAAAGTCCAGTCATGGCACCTTCCAAGTCCAAAAAGACGGCCAAGACCAATGTCAGCGCCATCGCCTCTTCCCTTTCCGGACAAGGAGATTTCACGCGCAAAAAGGCAAAAGTGGGGGTGAAAAAGGTGGGCAGCAACGCGACGAGGACAGATTTCAAGGCGAGATCCATCGCGCTGCCCAATCAATCCGTGCTCGGCGCGGCACATCGCAACGACGAGACACCGCAAGGCGCAGAGGCATCGTTGGAGGATGCGAGGACTAGAAGAGGCTTGGGACTGGCCCAGCTGGTGGTGCAGACGAGGCACTACAGCAAGGATGTAAAGAGGGGTGAGTACGGACAGCATGTAGAGTGGCAAGTGAGCCAAGCCAAGCTCAGCTCGGACTCTGCAACGCCCCCCCCCCCCCCCCC